CAGCGGCGCGCGCGGGGGACCCAGCAGCCACCCCACTCTGGCCCCGTTCGGTTCTCTCCGGGCCGCTGCGCCCCCATTCCACAGTGTGGTTAACGGAGGCGCAGGACGGTGCCACTTTAGCCGGGCGAGGTGGTGCACGCCTGTCATCCCAGCCCCAGGCAGGGGGATGCCAAGGTAGAACCCAGCCTGAGCAATTTAGCGACTTATGAGGACTCTGTCTCAAAATAAAAAAATAAAAAAGGCCTGGAGCTGTAGCTCAGTGCAAACGCCCTGGGTTCAAAGCCGCCCCCCCCCAAAAAAAAAACCTAAAACATCTGTGTATGATGAATTAATTTTCTCCTATGCATCCAGAATGGTATGAACGATCTCCTCTTCTTTGTGAGATCTGAGAAAAGGAAGTCGCTCCCGCCATATCCTATGTTCTGTGGCTGAGGAAGAAACAGGTCTAAGACAGGATGAGTAACTGTGTGCATAGGTGAAGCATGAGCTAGTGTGAAATCGGGTGTATCCATGTGAAAATAGCCATCTCTATGTAAAGTTACCCTGGAAAATCCTTGCCATTGCCCACACGTCTCCCGGGCTGGGCGACCACTGCTGCGACCCCCGCCTCCGACAGACCTGGGGCCAACTGGCTGAAGTGTGGCCTCTCAGAAGCAAAGGGGCCAGTTAAACGTGACCCCTCCGCACCTGGGCGTGCGGCTGCTGTCAGGGCAGGAGGGCGGAGAGCAGAGTTCTGATGGAGGGAGTTGTCCAGCTTTGATGAGCTTGGATTTGAGATCCTCCTGCCTCACCCTCCCAGAATGCTGGGATTACAGGTTTGCAGCACCACACCTGGCTTCTCACCCTGAGCCCGCTTTCTCCGCCTCTGCCTGCCTCTCTGCCTCTGCCTCTGTCTCTGTGCTGTCTGTCCCTGTGTGCCTTGCCTTCCTCCCATCCCCTGTGGAGCACCCAGGGAACCCAGGGAGTGGAAGGCACACACACTTGTAACATGAGACTGACTGGTGGGGGGACATGGACAGCGGGGGCGACCTGAGCATGAGCATGGCTAACCCCTCCCTTCCTCCCGCAGACCACCACGTGGCCCCCGTGCTCAGGACCCGACTGAGACCTGCAGCTGCCCTGCCTCGCCGGCCACAGGACAATGTCTCCTCCCCACTGTCCTCACCTGGATAAACAGCTCTGCCCCACACGCTGCTTGTCGGTCTCAGCGGGGGCTGCGCAGGCTCGGGGTGGGGGGGAAGGTGCGTCCTTCTGTCCAGGGGGTGCTGGAGCCCCCGGGAGGGAGGACCCAGCTTCCCATGGTCCTCAGCGAGCGTCTCTGACCCTCGCGTGTGCACTCACACCAGGCCCAGGGCCACCTGAGCTGCCCCTCCGTGGCTCTCAGAAAGGACACTGCATCTGTGTGCTACGTCTGTATTGAGGGGTCCCCCGAGGGGTCCCTATTCGTCTGTCTCCCCACCCTCCGTTTCCTCCCCTTCGACGCTCCCCGAGGTTCCTGGCTCCGTGGTCGCGGGGGCTTGGCTGACGGAAGGCGTCTTCTCGCTTCCCTGATCCTTGGACAGCAGGGACACTGTCCTGGACAGGTCGCACTTGCCCTTCAGGAAGCTTGGGAGGTGCAGCATGTCCTTGCGGTGGGCCCACCTGTGGGGAGGACAAGGGGCCTCGCTCAGCCCCATGCCCCCGCCGCCCGCACCCAGCCAGGACCCACCGGGCCCCGCTCACCAGAAGAGGCAGATGCAGCAGATCATGAGGACGAGGCCTCCACAGGTCCATCCCAGAGCCCACATGTGCTTCTTGCGCATGTTTTCTGCACGGAGGGGGGGTTGGAGGCGCCACAGAGGTCCAGCCGCACCCCCGCCCGCACCCCACTGCTGGCCCCTCACCATCCGGCCGCTGGTGGTAGCAGACCCCATCTCGGTAGCAGCAGCGCAGGCGCAGGCAGAGGTTGGGGCTCTCGATGGCCGCCTGACCCCCACAGCTCTCCCGGTCCCACACATCACCCTCACAGCCTGGGGGCCACCAGCAGGATGGTCACCGCGGGCCCTGCACTGCAGGGTCCCATGGCTACACACTGGTGATTCAGCTAGTGGTTACTCCAGGCAAGACTGAGTGATCCAGGCCCGGCCTCCTCCCGCCTCCTTCCTCCCTCCTCTCCCAGACCCGGGGTCCAGCTGGCGCCCTCCCTCCTCCCTCAGACCCAGGGTCTGGGCCGGCCTCCTCCTTGTGGGCCCTGGAGTCTAGTCAGGGCGGCCCCTCCCCAAGCCCCACGGTCTCAGCTTCTGCTCACTCCATGGGTAGAAGAACCGGTGGATTCCGACCCCACCTGCGAGAAAGGAGGTCATACAGAGGCCGTGTGGGGGCCAGGCAGCCCCACTGCGGCCCGTGCCTCCTCCCTGCCAGTGTCCTCACCAACTGAGCCCTGCATCACCAGGAGCAGGCCCAACGCCGGGATCCCTGAGCCCACCATGTTGCCTCCTCGGACTCCTGTGCCTCTGTGGGGACAGGCCTTAAGGAACATCACCCCAGCAACGCTGGGCCCCGCCCACCCAGCCCCAGGATTCTGAGTTCTGTTGCCAGAGTCCCCTTGCAAGTGCCCACCAGAAGGGCCCTCCTGGCTTGGTCATGTCTCGCTTAAGAAGTGGCTTTTTTCTCCCCTTGCCATACTGGGGATTGAACCCAGGACCTTTGCACTGAGCTACATCCCCAGCCGTTTTTTTATTTTTCATTTTGAGGAGAGTCTCACTCAGCTGCTAAGTTGCCCAGTCTGGCTTGAACTTGGGATCCCCCTGCCTCAGCCTCCCCCCGAGTGTTAAGGTTATGAGCCCAGGCCTGCATGCCCAGCTAGGAAGTAGCTCCTGTAGTGCCCAGATGGAAGGATCCCTGGCAGGGGCCTCGGGCTTTAGGGGGCCCCCTTAGCCACTGGAGAGGGAAGGAGAAGCTGAAAAAGAGCCTGGGCTGGGCCAGCTCCCCTCATCCACTGGGGAACCCGAGTTCATGGATGCATTGGGGGTACATCACTCAAGAGCCCTTTGTTCCTAACCCTGTGTCTGCAGAGGAGGCCTCAGGTGGCCAAGAAGAAAGTTTGTTGCTAGGGAGTCTTTCCCCTTAGCAACCTGGAGGAAGGGCCAGGACCCAGGGGTCTCACTGAGCCCCATTGTGAGGGACCGTTGCCCCAGCAACCAGGAGGCCTGGGAGGAGGCCAGGACCTGGAGGCTGAGCCCTGGTGCCCCAGGACACTTGTCACCGAGGCCATACTGGGCCTCCTCTCTGGGGACCGCAAGCCAGCTTGGTGTGGCAGAGCCAGGTGGGCTAAGATGTGAGGCACAGGTGAAGGTGGCAGCTCGGGCGCTGCTGCCGGGACCCACCTGAGCCCCACCCCACCTGGAAGGGGCGCTGCACGCTGCGGCGTCCTGTGTGCTCCCTTGGTTTCCCCATAGTTGACAAGGGTGTGGCGTCAAGGAAGAGAAGCCAGAGCAGGGCTGGGTTGGCCCCTGGTACCTAGATCACCCAGGCCTGGCAGCCCCTGGGCTCCAGGAGTGGGCGTTCCAGTCCCAGGGGTTCTCCGGCTTTGGCCCGGGATTACTGGTCTGAGGGGGGAGTCTGGACGTGGACCCCCAGGTCTGAGAGGGGAGGACGGACCTGCAACCTGTGCCTGAGGGAGGAGGCTGGGCCTGGACCCCCCGGGCCTGAGGGCGAGGGTCAGAGCCAGCTCCTATTTCCCAAGCCAGGCTGACTGCGGGTCATACCCTCGTCTCTTGTAAACATCCTGGTGGGTGCTGAGCTGGCCCTGGGCTACCTCCGTCAGAGATGACACTGGTCCGAGGGGGCCTGGCGGGGGGCGCAGCGTGGGGGTCAGGGTTGTGGGGCTGAGGGCGGGCAGCTGCTGACCATTTCCTGTGTCAACACCATCTGGACCCACTTCCCAATTCCCGGGATTCCTTCGGGATCAAGGAGGGGTGGGGGCGGGGCTCCCTCTCCCTGGACTGTGGCTTGGGACTGGGGGGGCCCCGTCACGGCCCTCACCGCTAATGACAGGTTTGGAGTGCCTCTGCGGCTGGCCTGCCTCGTCACCCCCAGAGCCAGACAGGACCCCCCAGGGACAGACAGACGGACACACACGGCCGGGGACTTGCTGACACACACCCGGCCAGCACAGCCTCCCCAGGGGCCAGCACTGCAGCAGGGACCCCTGAGCACCCCCAAGGGCCAGCGCGCCTCTCCCAGTGTGCAAGCGGCTGAGGGCGAGGGGGCCCTGCCCCGGGACGCCACTGTCTCCCCGGAGCCCACCCAGCCTTGCACAGGACTTCTCACGCTGCATCTTCGCTGCCTTCCTCCTGTCACTGTCATTTTTGGGGATTCCTCAGCTCTGCCCCTTGTGTCCCTTGGTCTCTCTTATTCTATCTCTGCTGTCTGTCTCTCTCTCTCACACAAGTGGTCCCTCCTCTCCCCACCCAGGCCTGGAGAGCACCACGGAGTCCCCAGCACTCCGGGTCCTCCTGCAGCCACAGTGAAGGGAAATCAGACCCCACCCGGGGGACCAACGCAGGGCCAAAAGTGGTCCCCAGATTGGTGACCCTCCCCTCACACACAGGTCCCCACCCAGAGGGCAGAAGCTCCCAAATTCTTGTCTGCCTGCTCTAAGCGATGGTTTAGGGTCTGGACCTCCGGGTCTGAGAGAAGAGGGCCAAGGGCTGAGCCCCTGGGTCCAAGGGAGGAGGCTGGGCCCTACCCACTGTTGGGGGTTCAGATCGGAATGTGGGGGGCAGGATTGCTGGGTCCCCGGGTGGAAGAGGCTGGCATTCCTTGATCCCCAGTGCTGCTCCGGGCTGGCCCCGGGCCCAGGGCCCCCATCCCCTCAGGCCAGTCCATCCCCGGGCTGGTGGCCTGAGTCACCTTGGCTGGCCCTGCCGGTCTGGGGGGGGGGGCGACGTCAGCTCTCCCCTCACTGACGCAGCCCGGGGCCCCCCACGCTGACTCAGCCGGAAACAGGCCCCCTGAGGGGTGGGGACCCAGTGGTCAGAGCCTGGGTCCCAGCAGAGTGAGGGCTGAGGAGGCTCCTGGGGGCCCCCAAGGGGTGGCCCACAGACCAAGGGAAGAGCTCTTACCTGAGGCGATGAGGTCATCTCCCACCAGGGGGGGCTGTGACCTCACCTCCCCGGGGACGCCAGCTTCGGCCTCCCCAGTGTGCAGCGTGATGGCGGCGGGAGGGGGAGCCCCCTGCCCACACAGGCTCAGAGAGAGGCCCCGCTTGGGGTCTGCAGAGTCCCGAACCCCCTCTCTCCCCGAGCCATCCTGGCTCTCGCTGCCAGCCCCTCCTGGGAAGGACACTCGGGATCGCCGTCCCAGGCCCCTCCCTTGCTGGGCTTGCACCCCGAGCCCCTCCTGAGGCTCTGCGGCTCTCCCCGTCCTCCTGGAGGTTGTTAATAAAGCACCGTGGCGGTGACCACCCATGGCTTGGCCGTGCTTCACAGACGACTCGAGTTACCCTGACTGCCGCGTCTGGAGCAGGGGTTGCCCTCATTCCTCTCATTTCAGAGGTGGAGAAGCTGAGGCACGGGGCAGCCGCAGGTGCCCAGGCCCGCCTCTGGGGGCTGTCTCGATCACTCCCTCCCTTGCCGGGTCCTGAGCCCATGGCCTTGGCGCTCAGCTACATCCCCAGCCCTTTCTTCACTTCTTATAGTGACAGAGTCACTAACTGCCCAGGCTGGGCTCAAACTTCAGATCTTCCTGCCTCGGCCTCCCAGAGTACTGGGATTAGAGGTGTGCACTCCCACGCCCAGCTGGGAAGTGTCTTGATGCCCCCTTCTCTGAGTCCCTGGTGTCTGTCTCTCTGCCTTCTGTGCCCCATTGTTCTGTGTCGGCCACCAGCACCTTCACCTAGTGTGGGCGGCCCCTTCCCGGCTCCATCTCTGCCGCGGCCGGCTCGGGTTGGAGCGGTGCACCCTGCAGCTGCCTCCTCTCGGCCTCAGCTTCCCTGTGCCCCCTCCACATGCGTCTCCGGGTGTCCCCAAGGCCCCACTGTCCTCACCTCCCTCTGATCTGGACCCCCAGAACCTGTGCTTCCCTCCTGGCCGCCACCCGTGCATCCCCAGCTCCGTCCCCAGCCCCCCATCGCTCTGCCCGTCCTGGCGGCCAGACCCCCGCCCAGCGCCGGCCCCCGCTCGGCTGCGCGTCTGCCCCTGCGGTGGAGGTGGAGGGAGGGGACGCCGATGACCTCACCAGCCCCTCTCCGACCACCCCCCCTTCACTTTTCAACTTTTCCAACTTTTCCTTCCGTGCCCTCCTCTGAGCGAGCCGGCTCCTCTGAATGGAAAAGGCAGAAGGGAGGGTGAGTCAGGATGTGTCAGGCCGCCCTCCCCGGCCGCCTGCCCCCCGCCCGCCCGCCTCGGCCCCCTATATAACCCCCCGGGCGCCCGCTGTGCCTCACTGCGCCTCCTGCTCGCACGCACATGCCTCCCCTCCCCAGCCTGCGGCCCAGCTGACCCCGGGGCTGCGGGGTCCCCGCAGGCAGCGGACAGGGAAGGGTCAAAGGCCCCCGGCTCCCTGCCCCTGCCCTGGGGAACCCCTGCTTGTGGGGACATGAACTGTAAGTGGGTCCCCGTGCCCGGGGTGGAGGCCGGTGCAGCAGGCAGGGAGGGCCGGGCCGGGCCGCACGGAGCGGGAACAGGGACCGGGCACAGGGGCGGGAGTGCTGGGTAGCCCGGGCGGAGGGCGGCGTCCAGCGGGAGCAGGGCCCGGCCGGCCGGGACCAGGGCAGGG